GATTTTCACTTGGGCACAGAAGTATAGATTATTTCATATTAGAAATATCCTGGGTATCTCATATTACGAGTATCACGTCTTACAGCTTTACGATCATCAAATCTAACTTCTTTAATTAAACAATTCAACATATTTCGTATTTTTCTATCAGTACGATCTTACTCTATTACTACATGAAGAATTTATTGCCAAATAATTACTTATTAAATAATAAACAGAGATTAAAAGCTTATCTCAATGAAACTCGAAAACATTCAAACTTTAAAATTTTATTTTACAATTACTGTAGGCATGATCTAACAATGAATTTTCCACTAAATAGTTTTCAATCCAAGAGCAATAATTTCATGATAGAATCAACAGATAGCATTTATTAGTTTAGCAGAAACGCCGCTATCTCATGTTAAGCGCCTATCTCATAATAGGGGGCTTTCCTCTATATATATAGATATATATATTATTCCATTCACCTTCATAAACGAATCGTTGGACAAAGTAACTATGTATCCACTAGTTATTTTAATTGGTCTCTTAGCTCGCGTGATTATTATTAAGAGAGTCTTTATTAAATTAACAGGAAGCATCGACCATTCCATTTCATAAACTGCACTTCCGATTTCAGTGCTCTATATATTTAGGAATAAACTGATTAAAAAGAAAATTCACTAAAAATCAGATTTAAATAAATTAAATATTCTTTTAAAAAAATAAGGTTTTAAAAGTTACAAAAATGTTTAATGACCGACCTTCAAAGTTACTTCGTTACCGAACCAGCAGTACAAATAAATCTGCATAAGCATACAACCAAGATATGACGAGCTCCACGCAAATTCAAGACTCAACAAATTTTTCGTCAACATTTTATAGATGCTAAGACAAAGCACTGTCGAACTTATGGTGAATTGTACCAAAATCATTAGCGTAAACACTGCATTAATGCGTTCAGCAAATCTGCATTATTATAATTATTCCCTTTATACATATATACACACACGCATGCACGCATGTATACAGGATGTTTCTGAAAAAGCTTATTATATAGCGCTAATCCTGATCTAAAATTGAGTTGAAATTCCTGAGCTATTTTTTTGTACAGTGCTGTAATGAAGCAGTTGTGTGCTGTTCACGAATGTGCGTCCATTTAAAAGACGGCGTTCGATTAGTTTTACTCGATAATAACTGTTTCATACAGCATTGTACCAAAAAATGGCTCGGGAAATTTCGACTCAATTTTATAGATGAGGATTAGCACTATATAATTAGTGTCCGCTTTTTTAGAAAATGTATACATATACAGGGTATTCCTAAATTGACGATAAATATTTTAAAGACAAATACTTCGTAGCATATCAAGACAAAAATGTCGAGACTATGATAGTTTCAAATGAAAAATATTTAAAAATAACGAATAATAGGGCTAGAATTTTGCGCACTTAAGAATGGCTAGATGATTAATGTGAAAGTGTTTCCTCGAGCTTCATGCCTTTGACAACATTTAGCATTTTTACACTTATCACTTTGATCATCATTTGTAATTTTTAACTCTTTCCATTTGAAAACTATCACAGTTTCGACATTCTCGTATTAGACTTTTTTGTCTTAAGATGTTATGGAGAATTAGACTTTAAAATATTCATCGTCAGTTTGGGACATCTTGTCTACAATGGCAGCAACAGTAGCGGATTAGGCTGAAAGAGTAAGAAATTAACTAATCACAGTTGAATGTGAGAAGAATAATCGACTGTAATTGATCAATTTCTTACTCTTATGTACAACCGAATTCCACTATTACTGCTGCCATTGTAGACGGCCCATTACAACGTTGATTGTAGAAATTATTTATGATTGTTAAAAAGGTAAAAATTATTTGGGGAGCATTGTAAAAACTGTTATACTCTCCCTCCTCTCCCAATAGTTGGCGCTTATGCATATATAATACAGGGTGAATCAGGTCGTTGATTATGTATTAGATATACAGTCGATAACTTTCTCATATACTAGTAAAAAGCTAATCCAACGACTCTGATTCACCTAGTATATAAAAATATACATATATAGGAAATTCTGAAATTAAATAGCCAAATTTCAGGACAGTGTAAGAGATCGATAAATTAAGAAAAGTCTTTTAAAGATATGTTTGTTTTTGCTTCGTTTTGGAGAAAATCTCAAAAAAATATAAAAGGTAATTCTTATTTTTTATTCACACTTATTTATTTACATTGTTACTTAAAACAGATTTAAAATGTTAGCCTCTTGCAGTGTATTATATCTTGTACAGACAGCTCGTGTGTGTTGCAGCCAAACATTGATCTGATCAAAGTAATGACACACTGATCCGTCACTCTCTTATTTGGAAATCGGTGCGCATATTTTCGCAGTGCCTTTGAAGCATTATTTTGTACACGAAAACAATAATATTCCGCTTTAAAAACAATAATATGTCAAAAATTACATTTTGTCTGTTGTATGATTTTCTCTAAAACAACGTAAAAACGTGCATACCTCCAAAAAAATTAGTTCTTAATTTATCGATTCTCTATACTCTTCAGAAGTTTGGTCATTTAAATTTTGAATATTTCTTTTCTTTTCTTTACGAGCAAATAAATTCTTATCTTTACCTATATACATAGCGATGATGATGAACGAGATCGCGAATTAATCGCTGTTCTCGCACCTTAAAATCTTCCTTCGAAGTGCTGCATTTCTGGGCTTCTTGTAGCGAACTCGGTAATGTACGAGCGCGATGGCAGAGTATATCTAGCTGGGCGCAGGTTTGTATCATAAAACCAGATATGAGAGTTTCGTGGGCAACGCTGGCGTTCGCACATATCATTAATCCGATGGTTTGATGCAACATAGTACCCCAGAAAGCGGTTGTTGACGATATATCATAGGGCACCCAATCGGACAATGGTAAGGTTCGAGTGCTAATAAAGTACTGGAATTGAGCGATCGTGGCGAAGAAGACGGCTGACTCGTTCAGTATTTCGCAGCATATGGTAATTATTCTGGAAAAACATTGGAGAAATATTGTAAAAATATTAACAAAGTATTAAAGAAATGTGAATAGTAGAAACGCGTATTTAAATTGATCAGTATACAATATAGGATATAAAAATACGATTTATTAGATCTCTCTCTCTCTCTCTCTCTCTCTCTCATCTATTAAACATATACGTCAAAGTTACTGATTTTTGAAGAAATTGACCTTATATGAATATTTACCTAAAACAAAAGCACGTCAGAAAAATACTAATTTATTTAATTATATTAAATAAATACCGCTTTCTCTCTCTCTCTCTCTCTCTCTCTCTCTCTCTCTCTCTCTCTCTCTCTCTCTCTTTCTCTAATTTTATTTATTTTCAAGCCTTGAATCGCCGTTGTTTTCTTTTATAATCATGTTTATAGTTAGTCACAGCAGTTCAAATTTTTAGAATATACTCATATACATAAATGATATATTGATTGACCTGTTCAAGCTGATCGAAGCTGCTAGTCTGTTGGGGAGGGTTGAGCTATTGAATATGTATAATTGAGAAATATATCTTCAAAATGCGTTTTGTCTAAAGTTTATAATTTTCAAAAAATAAGAAAACCACAAGGGAACCATACGCCTTATAAAAAAATAACAATTTGCCAATCAGTAAGATGTAAAATGTTAAACAAAATTAAAGTATTTCTAATAATGTTAAACAAATACATTTTGTTTGTTTCTAGTCAAAGGATATAATGCACTTTGAATGTTTAGACTTTTTTCAGCATATAAATTAATGGTGAAAAAATATTTTTTGAACATCGTAGAGTAGCTTAAAATATGAGTCCGACACTGAACACTATCATCTCTAACTCAAAAAATAAAATTTTGAACAAAATGCATTTTGGAAGTATGTGTTCTTTATAATTAATTGAATCTATAAATAAGAACTTTTTAAGTATATTCAATTACTCAGGGTACGATCAAAGTCTCACTACAAATGCTTTGAAAAGTGTTTGATTGACCAATCGTAGAAGAAAGAATTTTACAAATTGACCAATCATGAAACGCTTCAAAGTATTTGTAGCATCGCGTTGACCGTACCCTCAATCAGGCTAGCTGTTTTATTAACTTGAATACTGCCATTATAAAGGATTTTATTTTAAATAAAAATGTTAAAATATCTTTCTAACATGTCCCTTTTAATATAAATTTTGTTTTAAAATTTTATATTTGCATAAATGTTTATGTAAGTATTTAGACTATTGATTTTTAAATCCTTAACTTTTTTTTCTTGGATTCTCGTCTCGCATAAAAAGATTATTTAAAAAATAATTTACGTACATACACGAACTTCGAATTTAGTTCTTACACAACTAATTTCACAATAATACTTTACACTGCGTACTTTGCACTGCGATCGAAGCGTCGCTGAATATTCATTTCCTGATCGTTTCGGGGTACGCAGATATCTTGTAGGAGCATATTGGTGAGACCAATGATCTCATCTCGACGTAGCGACAGGTTCGCCACTTTGCAGCTAACGCCGAATACCGACAGAAACAGCGAGAATTTTTCGATAAACGTCTCGAGATCCTTTGTTATGAAACAGTCGACTAAACCGCAAAATGTGAATGAGTAAAGTAGAAAATTCATTACGATAGAATAAATGATGTACGCCCAATATTTGATAAATGTCAAGTTAATGGGTCGCCAGTATCCGGTATATGTTAATAGCGCGAACGATAACGGAAGAGTGTGCATGATTGTTAACTCTTACGAGTCTAAGAAAAAGTCTCGAAGATCTTAGGTAAGTCTCGATAAAAAAATATTTCTTGTAAGACAATTAGTTCTGAAGATGCTATTATATTGCTGTTTCCTGCATTTCCTCGCGTCAGCGTTTCATAACCCATACCTCTTTTCTTATTCTCTCTCACTTAAGAATTACTTTGACTTGCGACTTATAGATAATTCATGCATAAATAAGTTTTGTTAATCGTTTCATAAAACACTACTTGTAATTCTACAAAAACTATCCGTACGCTATAAAGACAAAGTTATTAAGTTCCGCCTTATTCCATCTTATTTAAAAATTAATGTTAGTATGAATTTGCTTCCTATGTCATCATCGTGATCGATATAAAGCGAGTCTTAGATCTTATCTCTAGTATAGCAAATACATTTCTTTTAATTTATATGCTGTTTAATTACTTCTCGAACTTTTAATTATCCGTCAGCTTTATATTTTTAACAAATTTAAACTTAATATATATATATATATACATAGAAATGATGTGACAATCGCCAATTGGTCATTAAATTCATTTAAATTAGTCGTGACATTATTATTGTGTGTGACGGAAGACAAAAGACTTCTAGGCGGAATAATATAGCGACGACAACTCGGTTATTATGAGTAAGTTGCGTTCGATTATCCATTAATATATAATAAATATAGCAAGGGATAAAGCGTGCGCACGTTGGAGAGACCGATACACATATCTCTCTAGCTGTTTTTTTTTCTTTTATGCTAGCAAGAATTCGCTCTTCCTTTTTTCTAGAAATTTTGCGGAATGATGTGACCTGTTCTTTTCATCTTAACTTCTTATTACACCATTTATATTTTCTCTTATTGTTTCTTTAATACAAAGAAAAAAAATGGAAAACATGACTCGTGCATAAAATTGATCAGAAAAGAACGGATCTCTTTTTCTATCACTATTTTTAATGTAACACAATCAATTTGTCGAAATAAGTCCTTCAATTCAAAAGATTTGATTGTGCTTCACAAAATAAGACAGTTTTTTGTCTATATATAAAAAGAAAAAAAGTATTTTTATACTCTCTCAGAAATAACACACAAGCTTATACAAAATAACAACAGACTTATACATATATTTAGACTGCTGACTCAATGTGAAAGAAATGAACCTGATTTCGAGCTGTCCTTGTTCTGTTCACATATGCGTATGTATGCGTTCTATCTGTGAGTATCGCGCGTGAACTTATGTGAAAACACTATGACAGAAATCACAAATGACAAATGTCATTTCATGATTTTGAATATAGTATAAGTTATTATTTTGACTTGAGCAGTGATTATTCATGTGATTTATACATGTGCGTGAGAGTGAGTGAACATAAATATGGCGCTGCCAGACGTCTTCAAACATGAAGATGAAGTTGACAATCTTTTACAATTTATATAAGTCTATGCATAGAAGAGCATTTATATACAAATAATGATATATGGTATACTAATATATTATATACATATTACTGTGTACTGTATACATATATACATTTTCTATTTTGGTAACAGAAGGAATGGAGTTCAGGAAAGTCTCAAAAGTTGATGTCAGAATACAAAATTCAATTGTCTATAAGTGTAACTTTATTCAGTCGCTGCGGGATTACAAAGATGTTTAAACGCGGTAAGCTCTGCCGAACGAATTCCTGTTTTTGTTCTTGTTCTTTGTTCAAAGATCTTTCTTTGCAAACGAAAATACATATTATCTCAGCGGATCGTTATTGTTTATCATTAAATTTAATCTTCCAATTTTAAACAGAGATGTTTTCTATACAATATTTAATTTATAATGATATAAATAAATTTATATGATATAAAAATCAAATTTGTCAAAATTGAATTATACATCAAGAATTACAAGACATTTCTATTTTTTATTGTGTGTACTACGGATGATCCTTCGTCGTCGCGCGTACAAGCAAAAAATCATATAAGCACTTTTATTATACAATTTAAGCAGTGGCTATCGATTGAGCGTATATAGAACTTGATCGTAGTTTAGCCGTTATTGAGATCTGTTAATCTCAATCTGCCGCAACTCGCCGGCTCGCGTAATAAAGTAGCCACGGCAGTGTCGCTGCACCTGGCTTATTGTTAGCGAAACACTACCGTGGCTGCGTTCCGTTTAAGCCATATGCGCGCATTTTATATAGTGAGCGTCACGTATACTATAGGGGAATGCGCGCATATGCGCGAAACGGAACGCAGCCCGTGTCTCCAGATATGTTTTGTGCGTATCACGTGCCTGTGTATATGTGCGCTCCGAACAGCTGATCCTTTGTTCACGACTATTTATAGTTTGATCGAATACTCGTATATTGTCTATTCAGCGGAAACCTTTTGGATTAAATCTGGAAATTGTAGCAACGCAATCGCCATACTATGTTGGATATGAGTGTCCCATAATCCATGTCCGTCCTTTTAAGAACGGGCTCTTTGGAACATTTAAATTCCCAATTTATTCACGTATAAAATAATGTTATAAAATTGATTTGATATTATATTAGGCAGAATGTAAGGCTTGTTTTTACAATGTTATTTATACTTAATAATATACAACAAGAAGTTACATTATAAATTATAAAACATTATAAACATTAATCTGTTTGTTTCATTACATTATTATTTTAGACAATTAAACTTTTAGCAAAAAATTGAAGATTATTAATATTGTCAAATAAAAAATTATTTAATTGACAATTCTGATTTTTTATATAATTTTTTATTTACTTTGACTGTATTATATTATACAGAATAATCCAGACCAGCTGCAAGATCCGATATGTATACGTACTGTTTATGAAAAATTGAATCAAAAAGTCCTCTATCATTTCGCAATTTTCACAACTTTTTTTAGTTATCCAATAAGAAAAGCAGACAATCCAAAATTGACGTATGTTTAAAACAATTTGAGAATATATATTTTTAAGAGTTCTTTAAAAAATATCTTTAAGATATTTCATAAGGAATGATATTTTAATGTTGTTTTTATACTTCTATTTTATACGTTTATTCGGCAATTTTTAGAAATTAACTATTTACGTAGAAATAATTAGTTATCCACCAGATTTCTGCAAAATACGTATTGAAAGAGATGATTACTTTTGCTTGTATTAAGATCCCTGCAAGACGTTATACGCTGAGTAAGATATTTTAATTATCTGAAAGAATAAACGTTAAATTGGCATATGTAAATCAAAGCATAATTACATTGGCGTCGATTTTTATGGAGAATGTGTGAAGTAATTTATAAATCAGAATTTTTCATGTGTGTGGAAGAACTATTTTTTAAATATAACTATAATATTGATGATAACTATAGTGTGTTTTTTCTACCTTGAAAGAGTTAAAAACGTATTTGCGTTTTACTATACAGCAAGTTCGGTTGAATTTAGCAACTACATATTTTGTACTACATATATTGTATTCTGATATCGTTAAGATCTCGGATATATTGATGCACTCATAAATTTATTGTAAAAAACGATATTTGAAATTCAACATTTTCTGTAAGTGTTTCAACAAGTTAAATAAATATATTTATAAGAATTTTTTATTATTAGAAGAATTCGTTATTCATTACTTTGTTTCGATATAAAAGTCTATATTCTTTGACATAATCTTGATATGAAACTCTACAAAGAGATCTTAGAAATAATTGTAAAATTTTTATTGTGCCTCTATTCTCCCGTCACGTTGTTGAATTCCACACATGGCAAATTGACAAGTCGACGCTTCTGATTAAACATTAAAAATATTTTCAATATCGCTAATATAATAATATCATCCTTGATATCATTCTATTTACCTTCATAAAAGATTCGTTGGATAAAGTAATTATGTATCCACTAGTTATCTTAATTGGTTTCATAGATCGTGTAATAATTATCAAAAGAGTCTTCATTAAATCAACTGGAAGCATTGACCAATCCATCTCGTAAACGGCGCTTCCGATTTCAGTGCTCTATACGAATTTAAAGATGAACTGATTAAACAAAAGGTTTACTAAACCGGCTTTAAGTAAACTAAATATTCTTCAAAAAAATTACGTTTTTAAAAAGTTTAAGAATATTGAAATAATTGACCTTTAGTGTCACTTCGTTGCCAAACCAGCAGTACAAATAAATCTGTATTAGCATGGAACCAAGGTACGACGAGCTATATGCAAACTCGACGCTTAGCAAATTTGTCGTCAACATTTGATAAATACAAAGACAGAGCACTATCGAACTTATGGTGAATTGTACAAAAATCATTAGCGTGAACACTGCATTGACGCGTTCTGCAAATCTGCACCATTACAATTATCTCTTCAAAATATACATAATACAATATATACATATATTTAATTCTTTTTTCAAGCGCGAATAAATAGAATTCTATTTTTACCTATACACATAACGATGATGATGTACAATCTCGCGAACTAGTTGCCGTTCTCGCGCTTTAAAATCTTCCTTCGAGATGCTGCATTTTCGAGCCTCTTGTAGCAAATCCGGCAATATACGAGCTCGATAGCAGAGTATATCTAGCTGGGCACAAATTTGAATCATAAAACCAGAAATGAGAGTCTCGTGGGCAACGCTGGTGTTCGCGCAAATCATTATTATGATAGTTTGGTGCAACAAAGTTGCCCAGAAAATGGTCGTTGATGAGATATCATAGGGTACCCAGTCATAGAGCGGCAAAGTCCGAGTGTTGACAAAATGTTGAAATTGAGCAATCGAAAAGAAGGCAGCAGACTCATTCAGTATTTCGCAGCATATGGTGATTATCCTGGAGAAATATTAGAAAAATATTGGAGAAATATAAGTTGTTCAAAGTTATATATAATTAAAAAAACAATTACACCTCCTATAAAATTACTTATAGCCTATGCAGAGTTATTATTTACTAATTATAAGTTCCGGGCACACCGAAAGTTGAGACTTATACTGCTATAGGTTGGGCAAAATATAATAATATAATACATTATTAAACTATTTAAAATACAGAATACAACATATTGTTAATCTTTCAATTTGAAATATAAAATATAAAATACTTCCAAATTATTTATGTAAATTACGAAATATTTTTTCAATCTTTTAATTATGATAATATATTTTAATACTTTTGAGACTTTTGAAGCTTATAATATAATTTTCATATGTACTTCGCGTTGCGATCGAAGCGTCGCTGAATATCCATTTCGTGAGTGTTCCGGGGTATACAGATGTCATCCAACAACATATCGGTGAGATTGATGATCTCATGTCGACGTACCGTCAGATTTGTCACTTTGCAGCTAACGCCAAGTACTGACAGGAATAGCGAGAATTTCTCAACGAATGTCTTGAAATTCTCGCTTATGAAACAGTCGACTAAACCGCAAAATGTGAATGAATGAAGTAAAAAATTCATAGCAATGGAATAAACGATATACGCCCAATATTTGATGGATGTTAAGTTAATGGGTCGCCAGTATCCGGCACATGTCAATAGCGCAAATGATAGCGGAAGAGTATGCATCGTTCTTGGTTGAAAGTCTAAAGAAAGATCTCGAAGATCTTAGGAGACGTCTCGATAAAAAATATTTCTTGCAAGACAACGTTCTGGAGATGCTATATTATATTGTAAATTTCATTTTCTCGTGTCCGCGTTTCATATCGTATCGCCTTTCTTATTCTCTCTCAGTTAGGAATTACTTTGACTTCTGTCATAGATAATTCAAGCATAAATAAGTTTTTCTAATCATTTCATGAAACATAACATGCAATTCTATAACGTCGTACTATTCGTACGCTATTAGAAACATTCTACAGTTATTACGATAAGTTCCGCCTTATTAAAAAATGAACGTTAGTATAAATTTTCTACGTTCGCTACCTTTGTCATAGTTGCAATCGATATTTAGGTACAAGTCTTAGATCTTTTAGCACTGTCATATAATACTTCTTCATAATCTACTTTTACATAATCTATAATTTTAAATATATTTCTCAAATTTCCAATTATCCGTCGTCTCTCTTTGTATTTTTAATAATTTTAAATTTGCAAGAATTACAAGAATATATAAGAAAATAGCAATATGACAATCGTCAATTGAATTAAGAGTAATCATTACATATAAAGAAAGAAGAGAAAAGTCTACAGAATGATATAACGACCTCTCAGCTATTATGACAAATAAAGTAAGTTGCGCTCGATTATCTATTAATATATAATGAATTCGGCAAGAGAAAAGTATATGCGCCGATGTATGTATTATACATACATATTATATGTTGCAGAAGCTGACTCTCGCTAGTCGTTTTATTCTTTTAGTAAAAAATTTCTAGTAAAACTAATAAAAAATACTATAGGTCAATAGGCCTTTTACCTGGTGCTATTAGTTAAAAAGTTATAAACAAAAAAGTTTGATAAATGAGAGAGATAGAGAGAGAGAGAAAGAGAGATATGTCTTTTTTTTTACTATATATAAAACAAAAAAGGCACGATTTTATGGAAAATTTTATGGAAAATGTCCCTCGGTTAAATTGGCTAAAATTCAAGTACGTTATTATTTTTGATGTTATTTTTCTGAACAAAAATCTTAATGGGCACGACTCTTTAAATTCCAATTAGAGATGTTTGAAGTACGTGGAAAGCGTGTTATTTCACGAACCAAATATATGAATGTATAATATATACATGCGCGTGTGTGTGTGTTGAAGTCATTAAATACTATGGAAGTAACGAACCGTGGAGTCCTTATCCCTACTGACACACACTCATACACACACACACACACATACACGCACGCACGCACGCGCACACATACAGTTAGACTTACTTTTTAAAAATTTTTAATGTAATGGAAATGGTAAAATCTTTGGTTGTTCTAAGAATTATAGTAGAAGCCTTAAAATATTTTAAAGATCTTAGATTATTTTAGATCAACTTTTTACACACTTTAAAAATCACCTCAACATTTTTAGTTATTCTGGTTTATAATTACTTTTAAAAACTCTAACATCATATTTAAAGTAAATTTTTCCAATGACCGCATACAGGTTAAGCTCAACTACAAGTTAATTAGCACAGAAAAAAATGTTGCGGTTATCACAATCGAAAGTAATAATGATATTCTTCTATCAATACATTTGGTTGTGATAAACGTAAGATGGACATATCTTAATATAACAGTCATAACTATTAAAACATTGTGTATTTTATGATTATCACAATTGTAGGATAGCTCTTATAACCAAAAAATGTATTGATGGGCGACTTTTGGCCGTGACAACCATAGCTATTTTTTCTGTAAGATAACGAAAACTTGGATCTTAATCGCTCATTCTCTCAGTATATACGCTACGAGCTTGATTGATGGTGTACTCTTACATCAGGATCTGCAATCGTACAAAGTCTAACGTTTCTTAAATGTAATATTTTCTGATTTTTGGACTTTGTGTTACAATATCTTTGCTTGTAGAACATATAAAGAGGAAAAATGGAAATACTTTTATTATATAATTAAAACCTAACTTATCGATTGAATCTCGAATACTCTAAATGATATCGGTTTAGCCGTTGTTAAGATCCGATAATGTCAAGTGTTCGGATTAATCGTCACGTAAACTATTGACGCCGTAAATTATTGGCGTAAACTATTGACACTACCATGTCTCCTGATTTAGATTTTTAAACAGTACTATTATTATTTGTGAGAAAATTATAATTGGCTACAAGATTTCTTCAAGACACGTGATCGAAGATGATTTTCACTTGTATTAAGACCCCTGTAGGACGTTGTACGCCGAGTAAGATATTTTGATAATCTAAAAGAATGACCAAATATGAATAAAATGACATGTACAAATTAAGATATAATCGTGTTAGATCTATTAAAAATATTTCTGTATTTTAATTCAATAGTAGATTCACGCAGTAATATTTTTCTAACATTATTGCCATGTCTCATCCTGTTCACCTTCATAAATGATTCATTAGATAAAGTGACTATGTATCCGCTAGTTATCTTGATTGGTCTCATAGATCGTGTAATTATCACCAAAAAGGTTTTCATTAAATCAACAGGAAGCATCGACCAGTCCATCTCGTAAACGGCGCTCCCAATTTCAGTACTCTATACATATTTAAAAATAAATTTATTAACAAAAAATTTACTAAACCTGCTTCAAATGAGGGACCCTGAGGAATTTTTGTCTTTTACATTTTTCGAAATATTTCAGCGTATTATTTAAAAAGACTCACACTGTATGTATACTTATATGTATGTAATGAGAGAAATGAAAGTTAAAAAAATTTATTATTTAACACAATTGAATCAGTCTTGTAAGTGGCTCAATAGCTACGTTTACACCGTGAATTTAGGCCGCGGCTTACACCCCAAATTCGACCTAAATTATTTAGGTCCCTCGCTGTAAGCATTTGAAAAATGACCTGGTTGTAAGCCAGGTTTCGGTTTTTGGTGATTCTCTAAACGTTTTATCGATGATTGTCGCTATCGTTAACTAGCGACAGCCAATGGCAGGACAATCCTAAAAGAAAGCGCGGCTCTCATTGGCTGTCGCTAGTTAACAATAACAACAATTATCGAAAAAACATTTAGAGAATCCCGCAACTGACCTGAAATAGGCCGCCTGTATATGCGCGCTGTTCATATATTGTAAATATATTATTATTCATTATATTGTAAAAATCTAAGAGGCTAAGAGTTACTTTCTAAACGTATTAAGTTGCAGTAGTTACTTATTACCAAGTCAAAAAAATAACAAAGTTACCGTTAATAATTACTGATTTTTAAAAGTAACTCATAGAGTTACCGTTATTTAAAAAGTAACTATTCGTTACTTTTCTGTTAAATGCTAATAAAATCAATCTAAAAATGTGTGTACAATATGTTTGCAATATGTTTTGCTTAAATGTTAATAAAAGCAATATATAAAAATGATATTAGTTTTATTTTTTAGTTCTTTTTTAAAAACTTTTTGTAATTTTGAAACTTGTAAAATATGCAGCAAATTAAGATATTATTCGTTTAATATATCACGTAAAAGTGTAAAATAATTTCTTAAAATGACAATATATTTCTCAGCTATCAAAAATCGTTGCATGGACGTTGCAGCAGTTGATAGCTAACTGTAAGTATTTCAGGAATTTTATTATATTTTATGTTTCTATGTGATACAGGTATCAGATGGTTGATATCTCAGTTTGCCACATATGTTATAGTTTTCAGAACTATAAAATTATTATGTTTTTCAGAATAAAATTAAAAAATAAAGTTTTACATAACAAGTAATTTATTGTATGTAATTTTTCCTTCACATATAATATAATATTTCAATTAATATAGTAAATAAACTAATCACAGAGTCGTATTAACATCTCAAGACATTAAAATAGTCTTAAAATGAATCAAAATTATTAATACTATCGAAAGACTGAAGATTGAATGAACGAAAATTATGTCGTAAAGATTTAAAATACAAAAAATAACGGTAAAAGTAACTGTAAAATTTGTTATCAGAAAAATGTAACTACGTTACCAGTAACTTACCAAAAAAAGTAACTTGTAACCTATAACTTCGTTACAAGTAATGAATTACTTCGATTTCCTGGAGACTTCATACTCTTTAGAGTGATTTGAATAGTTTTAGAGAGCAAGGCAAGCCCTCTAAAAATATAAAAACGCCGTAAAAAGAAGATAAAAGTAAAACAATACCTATACAGATAATAAAATAAAAAAATACAAAAATAAGAATAAACATAAACACAAAAAAACATAAAAATAAAATTTGATTACAATTTCGGTTTTTGTTGATATAAAAAAAGGGTTATTGTACAATTTTCGATTTTGGTTCCGATTTTGATTTTGTTCAGATCTTTGCTTTATTAAATAAATCAAATATTCTATGAAAAAAATGGCTTTAAAAGTTTAAGAATTTTTTGATGACTATACCTTAAGCGTCACTTCATTGCCGAACCAGCAGTATAAATAAATCTGCATAAGCATACAACCAAGATACGACAAGTTATACGCGAAATCGAGGCTCAGCAAGTTCTTTGTCAACATTTTGTAGATGCTAAGACAGATCACTGTCGAGCTTATGGAGAATTGCACGAAAATCATTAGAGTGAACACCGCATTGATACGTTCCGCAAACCTGCATTAAAATTATTTTTTCAATATATTGTACATTTCTTTTTTTATACGCGAATAAATGTTATCTTCACCTATATACATAGCGATGATGATGGACAATCTCACGGACTAGTCGCCGTTCTCGAGTTTTGAAATCTTCTTTCGATGTACTGCATTTTCGAGCCTCTCGCAACGAATCTGGCAACGTACGGGCACGATAGCAAAGTATATCCAGCTGGGCGCAGACTTGGATCATAAAACCAGAAATAAGAGTTTCGTGGGCAACACTGGCATTCGCGCAAAGTATTAGTGCGATGGTTTGGTGCAACATGGTTGCCCAAAAAGCGGTCGTTGACGAGGTATCATAGGGCACCCAGTCATAGAGCGGTAAAGTCCGAGTGCTGATAAAGTATCTTAATTGAGCAACCGTGGCGAAGAAGGCAGCAGATTCATTCAGTATCTCACAATATATAGTGATTATCCTGAAAAATATTGAAAAAAGTTAGAAAAATATATTGGATTAATGTTATAGTGGTATATTTTAGAGTAGAGATTATTATACATCTTACAGTATAGTAATTATATCTTGCTATTAGACTCGGTAATTACTATTACACTTATTATACAATTTATAGTGTAATTTATATATTTTAAGAAAAATATCAATAAAACCAAAAACTATCAGAAAAATACCAGCATATTTAAAATTTTTTTAATTCATAATAAAAGATGTCTTTTACAATCAATATATCGCTCTGCTTTTGTATTTCGATCTTTGCATTGCCATTAAGCACATATGTATATATGTAATATATGTATGTAGGTATGTATTAGGTAGGTATACATTTCTCTTTAGTAATTATCTTTGATTGGTCATAGAGATTTTGGAATATTATTGAATGATGTATTGATTGTTGAGAATCCTATTTAGAATAAATATAATATTTAAAATATTATGCTGACTATTTTTTAATATGATTTTTGTCTCAATACAACAATTTCTTTTTATTGCACTGTGTACAAATACAATATTTCTATGAATATTTTATTCAATCTGTTTATTGAATTTTGAATATTGAATTTTTGTTGGGTTCTTTTTCGCATGAAAAAGTCGTTTCAAGAGAGAATGATACAAAACTTAATCATATAAAACTGGAACTCAATTCTCACAGAACTTCATTTCATAATACGCACTTCGCATTGCGATCAAAGCGTCGCTGGATATCCGTTTCTTGATCGTTCCGGGGTATGCAGATATTCTTCAGTAGCATATTGGTAAGCCCAATAATGTCGTCCCGACGTACCGCTAGGTTCATCACTTTGCAGCTAACACCAAGTACTGTCAGAAACAGCGAGAATTTCTCGATAAAAGTTTCGAGATCCTTGAGTATAAAACAGTCGACTAAACCACAAAATGTGAATGAATAAAGTAGGAAATTCATTAGAATAGAATAAATAATGTACGTCCAATATTTGATGGATGTTAAGTTAACGGGTCGCCAGTATCCAGTATATGTTAAAAGCGCGAACGATAACGGAAGAATGTGCATCATTCTCTTAAAAGTCTAAAGAAAGGTCTTGAAGATCTTATAGGTAAGGTCTCAATAAAAAAATATTTCTTGCGAGACAATGTTCTGAGGATGCTATTATATTGCAGTTTCCATTTCTTCGTGTCAGTGTTTTCTTGTCATATCGCTTTTTTATTTTCTCTCTCTTATAGATAATTCATACGTAAATAAGTTTTGCTAATCGGCCCACAAAATGTTACATGCAATTCTATAAAGACTATCCGTACGCTATGAAAGGCATGTCAGAGTTATTATATTGTAAGTTCTTCCTTATTCCATTTTATTTAAAAATAAACGTTAGTATTTAATTCGCTACATTCTCTATACATATATCCCTATTATCGTCACGATCGATATACGAGAGTCTTATTGTTAGATCTTAGTGCTAGCGTACGATGCTTTTGAATCTATACTTTAATGAGAATTCTCGAATTTCTAGTTATCCGTTAATGTTGTATTTTTAACAAATTTAAATTTAAATGACAAGAACATATTGAATATCGCAGTGACACGACAATCGCTAATTGAACGTTGAATTGATGGTGATATTGTACATATTATTGCGTGCGACAGAATACAAGACGTCTGGACGGAATAATACAGAAACGGCGACTCGATTATTGTTACAAAGAATAAAGTTGCGTTCAGTTGTGCATTATTATATAATGAATGTTGCATGATAAAATATGTGTATTAGAAATATACCGATATACATTCTCTCTAGTTTTTTTTCATACTAGTAACAGAATTTACTATTTCTTTTTTCTAAAATTCTTGCAGTATTGTTTTTATATTGTGGTTTTCAACGTAGCACAGTCAAGTTAAAAGTCCTTGCTTCTTCAATCCAAAAGGACTTTGATTGTCCGTTATAAAATAAACAGTCCCTTGCCTAAAAAAAAGATATAATTTGTAATTTTGCATTTAAAAAACATTATTCTGGTAAAACAAATTTTTATATTTTCTAATATTTTCAGGATTTTTTTATATTTTAAGTTAGTGACGATTTTTTTTAAATGTTGAACTTCTTTATATTTGGTCAAGTTTCAATATTCATTACCAATACTGAAAATCTATAATATATGTTACATGTACTAGGCATTTTTCAGCACTGATAGTAAATTTCAGGATGTAGCCATTATAAGTTATTATATTTTGAAAATTACAAGATAAGCAATATTTTAAAGAATAGTTATTTTAGAATTCACGTATAAAAAGAATTCTAAAGAAGATGGAGACAGCATATTTCTGTAAAGTGTGTTTAAATTTATAAAAAAAATTTTTTTACTAAGATAAAATTTTATAAAAATAATCATTTTCTTAAATATCATTTATTTCAGAATTTTTTCACCAACGCGCTGCTTGGAGTGGCATATCCCATGATAATTTGCGTGTTATTATTGCATTTGCCGGAGACCAAATGAGATAATGAAGAACATTGTACACCTAGGAAAGCAGATTCATCGATCAGAGACTCGGCATAGAATTTCCAAGAACGCTGATGGCTACAAAAATCTGTCAATGAAACAAAAAGAGATGTAAAAGGTACAATTATTTTAAATGTAAGTATACTATCATAAATAAGAAAAAATATACCATCTTTGCTATAAAACTTAGGATGTTGCTGACAGCCAGGTTGTATGCGTTCACCGCCGTTTGGGAAGAAATCCACTGTGCCCGTAGTCCTAGCAATACCATAAAATCCGTAATCCGTATGTATGATATCCACAAAACGGGCGTCAGAGAACGAAAGATGAGGTTGAAGAAAGTTGTAAAGGGGACCAGCAGGATCTAATCCTATACAAAAATATTGAAAAATATGTAATAATAAAGTTTAACATATATATATGCATAACATATTAAACATATCTTTTTACTTTTAATAGTTTTAATATATTGTAACTTAGTAAAAATGTAGATTTTACTTCATAAAAAAATAAAAATATTTTATTTGTAAGAATGTGAATTAAAAAATAATAAATAATTAATGCAAATTTTAAGTATTTCATCATTCTGAATTTGTGAGAGAGAACTAGAGAAAGAAAATTATCAAAATATTTTAATATGTCTTGTTATTTAAAAATACTTTGGTACTATTAAGTATGAGTAATATTAAAATCAAAACGAAAATCAAGATAAAATCAACTGATAAAAAATTGTAGACTTTTGGGTTTTCACCTGTAATTCTAGGAATCTTAAAGTTAACTTTTCTGCCGATATAACCGGCGATTTGACTGCCCATGGAGTGCCCAACAACATGCAATTTTTCCGTATCAAAGTCCAACTTCGCCATCTTATCGAGAATCATCGTAAGAACATTTGCAATGCGAGGGGCATTTCTTGTCACCGTTACATACGAGTCGTTCGCTAATTTACCATAATCCACTGCGATGATATTATGATCGTTTCTTTTCAAGTAAGCTGAAAAATAAAAGTATGTTACATACTTTTTAAAGTATATATTACGTGTCATTATAATATACCTTGCACTATTGTTTGTACGCTCTTTTTTTCTAAATTTTCCGTGAAACCATGAATATATATTACCGTTGGTTTGCTACTGATTAATTGAGATGTGATTGCGCTGGCGTTTTCCAGCGAATAGTCAACATATTCATGTATAGTACTTCTAAAAGAAATAAATTTTTGTTGACTGATAAAAAAAATTAATCTTTTGGAAAATTACTTTTTCCTTGTATGAAAAAAGATTATCATCACAAAAAATGTAATTTCTTTTTTCGTAAGAATTTAATTTGAAGCAATTAAAATGATAAAATAAATCAAAAGTTTAAAAATAAGCACCCGACATAAATACGTAGAAAAATGCTCTTAAGGTCCTCTTCGAATACTAAACCTCCACCTACAAAAAAAAAATTTTGCTAATTTTTTTCTTATATCAAACATTGTTTGCCTTTAAGCAAAATAAAGAAAAATTAATTTATAATAAAATATTTTTTCAATACAACATTTTTTTTAAAACATTGTACTTTTTTAATTACCATCTTTGATTAAAGAGTATATTTGATTTCTTTGAGGTTTTTATACTCAAAAAAACAATCAAAGGTCTTTCGAAAAATTATGAAATATTTATATCTCAAGTTGGACTTGTCCAATTTTTAACAAATATTATTTAGAAATTACATTTTAACAAAACTATAGTGTTATCTTAGCGCAATTACTGCAAAATTTTTATCAATTTATAATGCCATTATTGTCAATGTTTTTACTTAAGTAGTTAAGTGTGGTCTAAAATTTCCCTTTTCCTCTTCTCTAAAATTTTTTTTTCTTCCTCGTTCTCTATCTTAAAATTTCCTTGTATTTTCTCTTCCATAAACAAATTTTATTGTCTTAGATTTTATTATTTTAAGAGCAGTTTAAACGTTGAAAAGCGCTTTGTTTTAATAAGGAACTTTAGAAGTTTCATATTTAAAACGTTTATTATACTTTTTTATATAATTATAGTTTTATTTATATGGAGTGTGTAAGACAATTGTTTTTTGGATGGTCAAATCAAATGTTAATCATTGAAATTTTAACTTCATTGATTTCTATTGGATTTGATTAGTAGTGATAACACCTCTAAAGATTCTAAGTTCTTTGTATATTACACTGAAGAGGACCCAGATTGAGGTCGAAACGTATGGATTTATATTAATTAATAAAGAAGAATTTTCAACACACAGTCACCTGGTGTCGGCTCATATTGGCAACTTGATGTTATTCCTTAAAATTAATTATTTATGATTAATTTTTTTATCATTATCCTTAAATTTGTCGTGTGCTGTTTTAATGTAGAATAAAAAACAAATTAAATCCCATGTTTAATAATATTTATTATAAGTATATTTTTATTAATATTAAGAATATATAACGAATATCTTTTATAAACTCTGTAATATTTTTTTTTTTTTAGCTAAGGTTGTAAATGAACTTGTAAATGATCTACCTTATGTGTAAAAATAGAATTGAAAATGCTGTGATTAAATTGATGAGATATACATATATCAAAAATGAAAAACTATTATTAATACTTATTTGCTGAGTTTTATGTTTTATTTCAAATTGTCAATTGTAGAAGTAATAACAACCAGTTGTATAAAAAAGATATAATATTTTTGAAATATTAAATAAATATTAAAAAAAGCAAATAATATTCATATATTTTAGAGGCATTGTATGCTTGCATGGAGTAATTTTATTTCTATCGTTTTTATTCACAGATATCTGTTTAATGTTGCACTGTCTACTTTTTTAATGTAGAGTTGTATAGTCAGGAAATACAATAGGTGTAATAAACGTTAAATATAAAGAACTTGATCAATTATATATAATTGAATGTGAAAGAACTATTTGACTATAATTGGCTAATTTTTTAAGACTTAAAGCTTACTATATTTATTAATTGTATTTTATCCATTTTAACCCATTTTTTACTTGATTAAATTTATTATTGGAAACCAACGCTTACCGATCGTAGATGCGTATATTATTACAATGATGAAAACAAATTGTTGAAAAATATGGATCTTCATTACGAGGCCTTCTATCAAACAAGAAGTATTTCTGGACAAACCGAACTTCAATTTTTTTCCTGTGCATGGAATATAAAAAGTCGCGTTGCTAATTTATGCACTGTTAATTTATGAGACATTCTGTTATCTAATATCGCTCTGTTTGTTTTACTGTGTGTATATAAAGGACGCACACGTGTCAAACGAAGATATAATTCTTTTTAACAGTGTGTCTATTAGATAAAATGGCTATTATACAAGAAAAAAGTTACTTGTGTATTACTTGTAAATTTAAAAAATTATTGTTAAACAATTATTGTTGAATATAGAGAATGTGTATTATTCTCACAAAATTAATTAAATATTTTAAGTTTTATATAAACTTTATAATATAAAAACATAAGAAAGCAATTTCAATATTATACCTAACATTATATCGGTCTAATTATATGTATAAAATCACAAATTTTTATA